GGGGAGGGGCTTTCTCCATGAATTTGCCTCTCTTATATACAGCTCTACACAAGTGACCACAGTTTTCCATTGGGAAAACTCCTACTTTTTTTTTAAAAAAAATATACAGTAAATAAATCTGAGTGAACAATGTTCGCACGCTAAAACAGGGGGCAGGATTTGTGTTTCCATGCGAATGAATGTTTCCCGCTGAACGTCACATTTTCGTAATAAGCTTGTGTTTTTTTAAAGCATAACTTTCTTTGAAATTTTCCTGTTGGTGAATAAAGTCTCTCTCTCTCTCTCTCTTTTTTAATTAAGCAAGCCCAGGTGGTAGATCCACACAGCAAACACATTTTTCCAACCTTTATTATGCCTCGTTAGAATTCTCTCCTTTAAAAGGATTTCTAATTATATTGTCTAATAAAACTAAACCTTGGAGATCATTTGCATATTATATGAAGAAATCTCATACAACAAACTCACAGTGGATTCAATTAACATAATAGCTAATTATATATCCCATCAGCCTTTTGAGTAGTTCGGCATTCATGTTTCTCCTCTTCTAGCCTAGAGCAAAGGGGAAGGGGGAACGGGGCTTTTGGAGTTCTCACTTTTAAATATTGACTCTTAATAAATATCGGAAATGATTGGAATACTTTTGTCAATTATAAAGCTTGTGATTAAATGACATGAAACACTTTTTTAAAACACTTGTTTCCAAATTCCTGGAATCCCACCCCTCCACACAGTTAAGTCACTAACTTCTGAACGCTTGTTAGAAGTGAACTTACTCATATACATGGGTGGTTGAACATACGTAAACATGCTTGCATAATTCATACATACTGCAACACTGACGGAGGAAGAGGAAGGCGGGAGGGAAAGAGAGAGAGAGAGAGAGAGAGAGAGAGGATGGCTTTCACATGGAAAATACTTGATTGGCACTCTGGATTTTGGAAGATGTCCATCTGCAGCCGTTACATTTTTATTTTTCTTATCCCATGCCCACAACCCAATTGCATTCTTGGCTGGTTATGGTCTCTATCAAGGCACAAATTTACAACGAGATTAGCAGAGACATAGTAATGAACTGGCTCATGAGCTTCCTTGTAATTGACTGTTATGAAGGTGTCATCTCTGCAGCCTGTAATGAATTCTCCATCGTGGGGCTTAAAATTGGCTAAAATATTCTGGAACTGATTTGCCTCTCTATGTGCACATGACCATGTGTGTTGTAGCAGATATTAACTTTCTCTCTCTCACTCACTCACTCACTCACTCACTCGCTCGCTTTCAGCATTTTGAAATATTGGAAAGATCAGCTTACTCCCCCCCTCCCCATGTCAGACATGCTTTGAATGAACAGCAGCACTGTGGGATTTTTTTTAAAAAAATAATCTGGGAAAAGCTTAGAGAAGTCCATGCAGTGCTAAAATTTGCACAAACAACAAAAACCAACGGGGGTTAGAGGGATTTTGGTGGGGGGATATACCATCTTGTTGTTTTGCAAAAAATAAATAAATGATAAGCTAAAAGTTTGATACAAAGTAAGATGCCTTTCTCTTGTTACAATGATGGCTGCCTTGTTATTCATATTTTAATGAGCTTACTATCTCTGCGACAGCTTTTTCGGGATGGAGTGAGGCCCACATCTCCGGTGTGACTACAATGGGAGTTGCTTTATTGACAAGTACCATTCAAAATCTTCAGAGTCTCCAAAGAAAGGCTTTCATTTTCTGCCACATGCCTAAATGCTTCCCCCCTTTTTATTATTGAGGCAATTTTAAAGCATCCTTAACTTTGGGGGGGGGGGAAGGATGTTGCACTGGTAGTGGTCGTGGCTGGGATATATTTGTAGAGAAAGTATATACCTCAGGGAAAGACATTTAGTTGAAATGCAAATTGCTGTTGCTTACTAATCAAACCTGGTTAGCTAAAGAACTGGCAAAAATTGTACCTATTTCATTTGTGGGATTTATGCTGTGTGTGTGTGTGTGTGTGTGTGTGTGTGTATTGTATATTTCTATATAATAATAGCACCCACATCTGTGTGGAAGGGTGATTCAATCCCCAACAGTTCTTGGGAGGATAAGGAAACTAGTCTCACACTGAGTGAACTCTGTTCATTTCAGGTGGGGAGGGGAAAGTGGTTTGAGAAAAGGAAATGTTTGTAGTAACTGTGATCAGCCACTGTGCCAATCCTAATTGTTATCATTATTACTTTGCTAAATATAAAAAGAGGATATTGAAATGCACATGAAATCCATAAGAGTCCTTCATTGGTTTCGGTTTGAAATCTCACACAGCATCCGATAGGCTTGATCTGAATCAAACTCTACATAAGTTGTATGCTGCAAGTACAAGATAAATACTTGTGTCTCTGAGCCAGTCTCACTGTGTATGGCAACATCTGCACACTCAGGCAACGGGGGTAACAGGGCTGTTTGTTTGTTTGTTTCGTCTGTTATCATATTTATCATAAACTTGGTTTTAAAAATGTTATGTCATAAGAAGTGCATTCCAATGTCATAGGGCACAGATCAGCACATGGCTAAGCATGCTTAACTGTCACTGGTGTTGATGGGACAGAAATATGCTTATGCTCCCATTGAGTTGTTGACTTTCATATTTTCTGAAGTTCTCATTTGTATGTCTCCAGTCCGAATCCCCTCGCAGTCCATTGTGGCATTTGCTGCTTATCTGAGGCGTGTTTTTGGTACTTCATTGGGTTGGATTTAACCAACTCAGGAATAGAGGAATATCTTCTGAAATAACTTTTCCCCCCGCTCCAAGCTTCGCAAAATACCCATCCTGCTGTTGCGAAAATGCTACAGATCATTTTTCAATCAGTCTGCTGAGATAAAACTTGTGCATAATTCTTCCTGTCATATTTAATCGTCCTGCATTTTTATTTAGGCTTGAAAACTATGCCCCATAGTTAGTTTCATATCCTACGTCCTATTTTGAATTATGCCCTTTGCTCATAATCCAACACAGAGTTAAACAAGCACTGAAAGCAATGACCTGGAGCACTCTTAACCCTGTATGAGACTGTAGCCATGGCAGCTATATCATGGTATAGTTGCATCAGAGATAATAAAAACTCCATGAACTTTAACACTCTTTATTATCATTGCATCATGTGCTACTTTTGGTCAAATCCTTAGGCTGTGTAATAAGTTTTAGGCGTAGTTGTATCTTGGAAAATGAAGACATTGCAGATTTTGAAAAGATGTGAAAGTAGCAGAAGAATAGAAAAGCAGACAAGCAACTCCTTGTTTTATTATATCCATCTTGATTCTAAACATAATAAAGGAAGCTCCATTGAAATAAATGGAAATTACTTCCAGATAATGTCAGCGCATTTGACTTTCTAACCCCCAAGCCATAAGCGGGGGGGGGGGGGGCAGTGTTGCTGAATTGCATATTCCACTTAATCTTTTGGGAACCATGCTGCTTGGTCACTGTTTATGTGCAAGTGTTTGTTTGTGTGTGTGAGAGAGAGGGAATAAGAGAGGAAGAGAGAGGGGAAGTATAATTCCATGTGTGCGCAGAACCACGTTTGGGATAATCTGCTTAATTTACGAATTGGCCTTCAATATGGCGCTTCAAAATTTGCATCCAACATTTGCAGGGGGATAAAACCCACATCATTTACCTTTTTGTTGCTCCCAGTTTCCATATAAAAAAAAGTTTAGATTCCAAATGCAAAACGGGGCTGAGGCTGAAGGAGAACGTCTCATAAAAGGGCCCAGTTTAAGAAGCACAAGAGGAGGGGAGCGGAGGGGGAGGGGGAGGAGGAACCCTAAGCTTTAATTTTAATTCTTCTGCCTTTATTTATCTGATTTGTAGCCAGATGGTGGTGAAGCGAGGAACTCCTTTGTGTAAACGGAGCACACATATGAAAGTGCTTCTGTAATGTAATCATTGAGACCGGAAGGCTTCATACCGCGCCTGAAAAGAGACAATGGAGACTGGATATATCAACATTGCAGAAATCGAGTTCATTTGTGATTCAGTCCCTTTGACTATGGTTGTCATGATAACTTCCTACTTTGATCAGCAGAGGGTGGAGAGGGGGGGAGAAAGATCTTCTAAAGGCCCAAGGATGCAGCCCTGTTGTTTACTGTGCACTTGGCTTCAATTCACGCCCCCTTCCGGAAGAAGCAACAGGGATAGGCGCATCTTGCACCTTGACCTGTCTAGACGGGAGAGAAGTTTTTTGTCCCGGTTTCCAGGGATGAGGGCTGCTCTTTGACCTCTGCAGCACTAGCTGTTGAGACCCTCGCTAAGTATGTAGGTAGCGTCTAAATGTTTCCCCCCCTCCGAATCCTTGCTTAATTCTGAAGGAAGAGGCATGGGCGAAGACATGGGCCAGCTGCTGGAAAATACAGCTCGTAACAGTAGAACCTGGGAGAAGCTAAATTTTGTAAGCGGTTATTTTCTTTCTGCAAACCCCTGGGAGGCATTAAACAGCTGCATCTGAGTTGACGAACAGCAAGTGAGACAGACCAACTGAAGGACTTGGGGGGGGGGGGAGAGAGGGAGAGAGACTTTTTAGAAACTGCTCCCGTTCAAGAAGCAAAGCTGATTCCAACAAGAAATCTTTCAAGGGTACGTCCAGAAAACATGGGCCATGGAAAGATGATTTTTCTCTTTTGATTTGCTGAGTCTTATGCATCTTCGTTTAATAGCAAAATGTGCTTGCAAATCTAAAAGCTTATAATGGCACATTAGTCTGTAAGGAATGCTTTATGAGAACCGTAGATGTTTATTTTTTTATTTTTTTTGCAAGTGGCATCGTAGATTCAGCTGACATTTTTAATTATGTGTGTAATATAATATGGGTCAACAATTATGCAGATATGGAGATCTGCTGACATTGCTCTGTTTCCTTGACCTGTGTAAGAGCCCTGTGCTTGTAGCCTTTTGCCTTTGTGATATTTGGAAATTTCAGTGTATACAGATATATATATATATAGAGAGAGAGAGAGATGTAATTTTCTCCTTCCCTTTAGGTTGCTTTTACAAAGTCAGAGACCTTCTTAACGGACGTTTTGGAAAAGATATGTGATCGGATGAACGACTATCAACTTCAAGACGACCCAGTCACTAACAAAAAGATATTCAAGAGATATGCTCCTAGGAAAGATGAGCCAATCTACGCAGAATATAAAAAATACTTTTTTTATTCTGACGCTTATAAGCCCTTGAAATATGCGGTAAGACAACATAATAAACTGGTGACATTTCGGGCTGAATTGCTATTAGCATAATGTTTGATATTGTATATTAAATCACTTCACTCAACGTAAAGCCAGGGCTTTGATAATGCTACGCTGTTTCTGTAGGCTCTTTAGTACTTTGTAATTTATAACAACAAATGGTATGGCGTGGTCTAGAGATGCAAAATCATGACACACAGCACCTGTGTTGTATAGATAGATGCTGTTGACTCCATTTCTGTGTAATTGGTTGTTTAAACTAGAATATTTTTTTTAATAAAAAAAAATCATCTGCTTTACTGGCAATTATTTTTCAGTGCTATAGATCAATACTATGTTGCAGCTCTGTTTTTTAAGAAGTAGGCAACTATGATGGTAGGGTAACAATCCAAATTAATTATAATGTAATTTCAAATCTTTATTTGCTATTCAGAGTGGGAAAGGTCGCGTCTCCGCCTCTCTTTTCCTTGGGCCTTGTCGACAGGGTCCACATATATTCTGAGGGCCTAGAGTATGTTGAAGCAAGAGGGAAGGTCCTAAGATGGCCTAGCGCCAAGTTGTTCGCTTGTGAAAGAACACATAATTTTTTTCTTGTACCAGGCATCATTGTACATTAGAGAATGCTCACTGTTCTCCTTTGTTTTTTTAAATATTTAAAGCAAAGTGGTGGCGGCAGCGGGAAGCAGGAACCTCAATCCAAAACTTAGCATGTGGAAGTAAAACTGATTGTTGTCAAAGGAATTTGCTTATGAGTACCAATGTCTTTAGATCTGGGGTGCATGTGCAATAGTAGCAGCTACACTAATGTGAATCCAGAAATATGATCTGTGGTCCAGTTTAATTGCTCTTGTTTCCTGTGACATGTTGAAGCAAATTATTGGGTTTCAAAATCCTGTGTTTAAATTAATGTGCTAAAACTTTACCCCCCTATCCCCGTTATGGCGTATTCCGACTCTAACCTTTGGCGCTGGGTAAGAGTTGGCCATCCTCCACGGTGGGTGTCTGGCCTCCTGATTAAACCCATTTGTTGCTGTTGTTTTTAAAGTGCATATGATGGGGTTCTTTCCGCTTTTGCCACAACCCATTTTGGAGTTTTGGGGAAAGAGGCATTTACACCTGTAAGTTTCAGACAAAATGGCCGAGGAGAGCTTTACTGCCTACCGCCCAAAGAGATTTTTCAAGCGCAGCGCCCTTGTCACTTTTGTACCATTTTGCAAAACATTAGCATTCTGCGAAAATGGAAAACTGTGTGCGCAAATATATGTGTGTGCATACGTGTGTGCATCTATACAAACACACACATGTACACACCCATGGCAAGAATGTGAATATAATCATTTTTAAATATATATATATTTAATTTAAACCAGTTGTATCGCCATTAAAGCAGCCTGCATTATGAGGAAACAATTAAAGTATAATCCTTAACAAAATATCATTATGCAAAGCATTTCTTTCTTTCTTTCTTTCTTTTTTTAAAGGAACCTAAATAAGCATATATTGAAATTCAATATAACTGTTAATTATATAGGGGGGGAAATAGAACAATTGATCAGGGTGCTTCACAAGCAAACAATCCCAAACAGTCTTTGTCAGGCGGTTCTTCCTTTTCTGCTCTGTGTAAATGGTCTTGTTTAGTTCTTTGCTGGAGAGCTGCTATTTTTCTCCCTTTCAGTGTGAAACTATCATAGAACAGTATGAAGATGAAATATACTCACTTATCGCCCAGGAGGCAGACTTTCTGGCTGACAAGCTGTGCATTGAAAAATCAGGTACTGTGTCTGATGTAACATGTGCTGCTCTCTCTCAACAGCAACTCCCCCCCCCACCTCCCCTCCCCTCAACCCAGTAGTATTGCTCGGGTGCAGCAGAAGCACTTGGGGAGGGGGGAGAATGTTCTGTAGGTGGAAGATGCACTGACATTGCACTGCCGTGAACTGGGGGTAGAAAGTGGGATCCTCTAAATAGACTGAAAATCTGCTCATAAATTCTGTCATGCCACCCTTTTTTAAAATGCCAAGCGCATGTGCTACGAATTTTCGTCAAGTATTAAAAGTGCCAGTTTTTTCCCGTAGACATATATATGTGTGCATGCGTATGTAATAAATAGACAATCAGGTGATTGTGTGTGTGTGTGTGTGTAGATAAATAGAGCCACATCTTGCACCACAACATACTCCTTACATACAACACTTGAGGTTGCCATTGTGAGCCGGTTGAGGCCAATGGCCCCAGATTTCAATGGTGCTGGGATGCACCCAGATTTTATCTTTAGCAGTTGTTTCCTTTTGTGATATCCTGGGAGTGGGGGGCGGGCAGTGGAATAGGAGCGAGAACAAATAAACACTGCAACGCTTCCAAAAGTATTTTGGTAGGCCATGTGCCCTTAAGCAGTTTGAAGATTGATTCATGCTCAAATCACATTTTGTGGACTTCCTTACCCCCACCCCCCAAAAAAAGAATTGGTACTTTTGCTTCATCCTTTAAATAGCAAGTGCGTGGTTCTGTAGTGTGATCCAGAAGTTTCTAACAGAAATAATGCCCAGATAAATTATTCCCTGTTAGGAATATTCATTCATGTTTGTCATGTATCCACCTTGCTTTTAGTTTTACATATTAATATTTAAGGCCAAGAAGGCCATTCTGCTAAATCCATTTCTGTCAAATTCTAAATAGATTTAGACCAGGCTTCACTAACCTGGTGCCCTCCAGGACTCATGGGTGTTGTAGCCCAAAACATCTGGAGGGCAGCAGGTTGGGAAAGGTGACATAGACCATCGCCTTTGGATAAAAACATTTTAGGAATAAAGAGTGAGTGAAAGAGTATGGGTGGAAATGTACATCTAACAATCACTACTATAATATTTAACAGGCTTGTAAGGTTCAAAATAACTATTTTTAATTTCCAAAATAAGGGATATTAAAAATTAAACGTTGGTAGAACTTAGGAAGTGTCCATAGAAGTTTATTTTCTGTTTTTAAGTATAATATGTAGGAGGACTGGAAAAGTGTAACTGTTAAAAAGTCTCCACTGTGACACCCACAGATAAATCATTTAAAAACAAAGTATTCCAAGATGTTTCTTTTGATCAGGGCATCATCTATATTGCTTTTCTTAAAATATTAGAAAAGGCAAAGATTAAAGGTTGTTTTCAGAACTCTGCATGCACTTCCCATAGTCTGTTATTTCCCCACCCCCAAACTATATGGAGGCGAAGAGAAAAGGGCATTGAAGAGTAAGGAAAAACTGGGTGAACGGTCTGAGCAGATTTTCTCCGACTCACTGATCTAACTCTCAAACCTGCCCGGAGTTTTAGGGTGAAGTAATTTGCCGTCACACTGAAGCCAAAAGTATGTTGAAAGTTGTGTGTAATGAATTCTGTTTCCTGGGACAACTGGCAAAGTAAGCTTTTGCTTATGAAAACCCACGCCAAAGTAGGTTAGTAAACCTGCAGCCTGTGCACAATTACACAGGTGTCAGTCCTATTGAACATAGTAAGATTTACTTCCCAGAAAACTTGCACCAGGTTAGGCATCGGGTTAGTTAGTCTTTCGTCTTCTTTCTAGTCTCTCCTGGCTAACTTCATAAATCACAGCCTCCTTGGTCAGTTTGTATATGTATATGTATATGTATATGTATATGCATATTCATATGCATATGTATACACACTTTTATTTCATTTTAATAAAAGTGTATAAAGTTGTCCTCGGCATTCTGATTTCCTTAAAAGAACCCCCGGGAAACTGACTTGCCTCATGACTTGCCTCAAGAAGGCACAGTTGGGACTGTGACAAAATACAACAAACGGCAGAAGGGAAAGGGGCAGGCCTTCACGTCGGCTGGAGGGATTCAAACATTTGGGTCTCGCGGAACCAAATAACTATCAGAGGTATTTTCTTAAATAAATATATAAGAAGAGCAGTGGTAGTCTTGCTGTTTTTGCCTGGACGCGGCTGGAGAGGAAACAAGAAAATAGAGTGCAAGAATAGAGCAGTCCTTGTGCCTGACCTTGTAAAATCTCACAGGACTACAAACATGGCAGACATGCTAAAGAGAAACTCCACAAAATGCAAGGGAGAAAGGAAAGCAGCCAGCCACACTATCTGACTCCCGTCTCCATATGGGGAAGGAGAAAAAGAAGTTTGACATTAAAGAGAGCATCCAAACACATTTCTAGAGAAAAACGTTTAGTTTTAAAAAAGAAAGAAAATAAGAGAAGCCATGGCATTCAGCTTTCAGATCTACAACATCATCAATGGAGGGAGATAAAACTGCTTAGCTTTAGGGAAGCCAGAAGCATCTCAACTTAGCTTCTGGTAGGGAGGGAATCTGATTCCAAATTGGCAGGAGAATCACATCTGGCAATCAGAGAAGTATAAAAGTAAAGTTCTCCAGGAATCCCTGTGCAGAGGCACCGCATAGACCGGGCTAAGTGGCAAAATATGGGGAAATCCTTGTTTATGTTTTCCCCCAGCTCTATTATCACATTACAACTTTGTTATAAATTTGTTTTGATGTTGGCAGCCATTCCCATCTGCTTGCAGCTTGTGTAGGGGTATATACTCAAGAAACTGTTTTCAATGTGTGCAGAGCTTTGTGAAAGATGAGCGCTTTCAGTCAACCAAATGGCCCACAAAAAGACTTTGCCCATGGCAGTTCGTGGGGCTGTAAATTTCACTGGAAAATACAAAATACAGAAAGACAGTGCAGAAATGTGTTGAAGTGTTGCACAAAGCAAAATTCAGAGAATATGATGTTATTTTGAGGGGCTCATAGGAACGATAGCTTGTGCTATTACTGTGTTATCTTTTCCGTTGTATGAATGGAAAATATTCAGGGTCCTCAGTCTTGTTGCAAGGGGTAAAGTGGGAAATTGCACAGACTCCCTAAGAATTTGTCCAGTTGATGCTACCAATATGTCAGATTCAAGAAACATTTGCTGTAAAGATATACTGGCATTTCTTTGCATGTTTACATGACATTTGTGTTCCTTGTTGACTAAAGAGCAAAAAACACACACACCTTAAATGAAGTGTGTTAAAATGATGAAACTGTTTGATACAGACAACCGTGGATCAGTTATCTGTCAAAAGTTTTCTTTGATCTCACTCAAAATCTCTATACTACACTTTTCACAGACAGGGAATTAAAAAGAATGAAACACACAATGTGTGTTCTTTTTCCTGTTTTCCTTAAGCAACTGGGAGCTGTTTCTCAGGTTAATACTTTTTTTCTTTTTTCGTAAGCTGGAAGCTGAGATTTGCCACAGGACCAATGATCTTATAGGACCTTATGATCTTATCTTGCAATGAGTAGTTGTCCCTTTACGTATCACAGTCTAGAAGATTTTGGGAAGATGGTGGATGGAAGGGCATGGATTTACGTAAATGACAACCTTTGTCATATCCTTGCTTTCCTGTTTACAGGGAGCCAAGCTAATTACACTGTTTATTGAAATTCAAATTAGGAGACTGGCCAAGGATATTCTCTAGGTTAAGGTATGGACTTTCATCAGTAGATTTACCACGGCAATATAATACACTACTCTAGATTTCAATTGCCCCCCAAAGTTATCATTAAGGTAACATAGAGACTTCCGTTGTAATAATCGCCTTCACATGCTCATAGCTCTGCAAAATTATTCTCTTTGGCTGGAGTTTTCCATTCTCATCCCAAAGGTGAATATATTTATGTATGTAGAAAGCTTGAGCAGAAACCATTCATGCATTTTTGAATTGCACAAGGGTAGAAAAATACATCCATTCTGCTACGAAAGCTGGATGTTTCCACTCCCCCTCTCTCTACCTCATTCCAACATGTCTATTATTCCTCTAACAGCAGAGCTTTGAAAGTTGATGCTTTCCAGGTGACTAGTCCTCACTGAGAGTTGCTCTTCAGGATGATTTGCCAAGTCCAAAGCAGTACAACAGAGTTCTAAATAATACAGCTCTGTTTTTGTACCTGAATTATGTTAGCATTTCCGCTGCACTGTAATCTTCTCTGGGACCGGAAAATAAAGAAGATGTATTCACTTCATGGGTGTAATTTTTTAAATGAAACTTTATGGAGTTTCATAATTATCTCCCCTCACCTTTCGGAAAACAGTTTGGAAATGGCCAGGAAATAATTACAGTCTTTAATTATAGTCCTGTTGTACGGTGGGGTTCTGCAAACTCAAGCTTTGCAGGAACAAACATTACGGTCCTACTTGAAAGACCTTAGTAGAGCAACAAATCCATTGTAATTGGTTTCATTTCTTTTCTTTTGAACTGGTAACCATTTACTTATTGTGTGACACTGAAATTTCTATTTTGAGTTCTTACAGGGGAAATTTGCTTGCTTCAGTAAACCAGACTTACCCACTGTAGTTCACTGGAGGACCTGTTGCCAAGTAACCTAGGCCCAGTTTTCTTGTCAAATAATAGGCTTAGAACTCCATCTTAACTATATTTACTTAGAAGTAATGGCCCAAATTACAATAGGACATATTCCAAATAATTAGGTTCACAATGCAACTCTATACATGCCTACTCAGAAGCAAGCCCCGTTGAGTTCAATGGGACCTATACCCAGAATCTCTCAATTCTGGTCTTGCTTTCATTTTTCCAGTCTTACGTTCAGATCTTTATATTTCCATATCAGTTTGCAATTTTTAAAAAAAGTTCTCATGAAAATTCATCAGTGAATTTCTCCTAATATGCACATTGTGCAAAGAACTTTACCCTAATATAATGCATGTTTATACATTATTTTCACTGTATACATTTTTATGCACACTTTGCCCTAGTATATGCATTTTTGTACACATGACTTAGCTGGACAGCTGCATCTCAAAATTCAGAGAAGTGCAAATTTCGAGGAATGGCTATGCTTTGATTATTGTATTATTGTTATTTTTCTGGAAACTGAGATTTAGGCAGATTCACCTTTAAATGTGAACCAAAAAGAATCTCTTTCCCTATCCCAGGTAAGTGTGTCTAGGATTGCAGCCATAATTTTTAGATAACTTTGATATGTCCACATCTAGAAAACTCTTCATTTTCTAAGCTTGGAGTATCTTCTGGATATGTATTTCAAGGCAATTATTTTCCTTGAAGAAGTTTGTGCAGTGGGAAAACACAGAATGGGACAATGCTGTAGAGTTCATAGCGGAGTGAGGGAAACCCACCCCAAATGCGGATTGCATCATCAAATTAAAATATTTTTTGATACACCCCTTCACTTGCCGTTTGCTCAAAGCTCAAAACTTCCAGAGAGCCACACACCTTTTGAAGTAGTTTATTTATTAATATACCCATAACAAAAGTAAAAAGGTTGTGAAGATTTGCCAACATGAATCAATCAGTATACAAACCGGGTTGCTCTGTTTTGTGGTGCCATGCCAAATCAGGCAAAAAGATCAGTCTGCTATCAAAGTAACATGGACAGATTTCTATGATACCTATAACCTGCCATTGTTCTTTGATCAAAATGTATGTCAAGATTTAGCATATTCTACATAGTTGTAACCCTGGCAAGCAGTTTATTGCATAGTCGTGGCCAAGAGATTATGCAGCATGGAAAAAATGAGAAAGTTCTGTAATTGTAAGAGAATCGAATTGTTGAATACTTTAATGACACGGAACATTGTCCTTTCTCGTTCAGGTCTTTGTCCAAACCCCGAGATGCATGGTGAGCTCTAGAACAACTGGAGTCTGCTGCTATTACAGATGAAGAACGTCAAGTGAAATATCCCTACAATTTCTGCCTTCCATTAACCCTTATCTTTATGGTGGGTTGTTGTGTGTTTTTTTTAAAAAGACATCCACCTTGATACTGATAATATAAAGTTGCCATCTGCACCAATTATTGAGGACACTGGACTGGGACTAGAATGGTCAGTGGTGAAAATTATTCCCAAGACTGTTGTGTCAGTCATGCTCTTTTTCAAGAACCCCAATGCCTGGTAGTAAGAGAATTTGTTCGCTCACTGGTAGAATGGTAACTCTTGCTTAACAGAAGATGGCCACGTGGATTGAAGCAAAATTATGGCGCTGTGTATTGTTAATCTCTTGTTTTAGCCAGTGTGGTTTTACCAAGTCATTGTGAATATATGAACCAGTTTTAATGATGATGATGATGATGATGATGATGATGATGCTCAGGGCTCATCTTAGACTGCTAATGACACTGGTGTTGTCACACTGAAGTCAACAGAACTGTGCCACTTTAAGTAAATGTCAACTGGTTCCTGTTGCTATAAATCAACTTTTTGGCAGAAGCTTTCTCAACATACCATCCTTTAGAAGTGATCTGATTTAAAGAAACTTACTTTGTTTAGTAGAAACCATTGACAGCATTTTGGGTGCTCTAGGTATTGGAAGAGATCACTGAGCAAAAATTCTATCAAATAGCAGAATCTCTTGTTTAGAGGTAGAATCCAGCCAGCCCATAAGGCAGTTGCTTTCTGTTCCTTGCACTCAAAACAAACGAAAAGGTGGAATTTAATGTGATCACCGTAAATTGCAATCAGATTGTAAAGAGGTTGTTTCAAAATGGGGAAATATCAGTGTGCCCCTGACGCTTCTTGCACCAGTAAACCGCGTCTAATAATTTTCTTTGATTGGATGGTATTTTATTACTAACTCGCACAATATGTGTGTTTATGATTTTCAACACTTTATAATGATAAAAGCCTCTCTCATTCAGTAATTGTTACTTATAGCTACTCTCAAACTTTTTTTTCACTTTTGGTAAATTCTTACTGAAGTTTGTTCTACGCATGGATCAAACCACATGCTGGCCTCCCTTAGTTTTAAAAAGAAGGGTTAGTGTGCAAAAATATTGTCTATATTTTGAAATAAGAGGTTTTGAAGTATAAAGTTTCCCACATTGGAAAAATAACTTCCAAAAATATATTTTGTGTACAGTTTTGTTTTGAGGCTACTGAAAGTCAATCAAAATCCATTTCCTATAAACTTAGTAGAAAGTTGATAAAGGGATTTAAAAGAAAATAGTCATCCCTAAAACAGTGTGTACTTAAAAGGAAACAGCTCGGCATTGAAATTTTAGTAAGGGAGATGTATAAAATGTCGCACTGTAGTAAGATGAAAAACCTATATATGCCTACCTTAAACATGGTTTATTTCAAGCCATCAACTGTCCTCTCATACTATTACACATTTTCATTGTTTTCAAAATTAATGAGTTCTTTTGAAACCAACAGAACTTAACAACTTTTTTTGTTTAGGAGTGGAATATCTGAGCCAGGAGAAAACTCTTGATGCTTTTTGGTCATTGTGAATTTTTATTAATTTTGTTTGAGTGGAGTCAACAATTCACTTTTTACCTTTCCCTTTATATCTTGTTGTGTGGTTTACGTTCCTTTCCACAAACCTTACATGTCACAGATGGTGGATTTACAATGACTGGCAACTGATATTACTGACCCTGACCCTGATATTACTTGGAAGTAAACACCATCGCTATCAATAGATATCCTTCTGAGTAATGTGCTTAGGCCTATGTGTTAGTCTCATGGCAGTGGATATGACTACACTGGCTTACATTCAATTCTACCTATCTCAACTTAACTGGATTGTACAACATCAGAGCCACCAGCCCCAACCCAGAGTCCAATTACTTGGAATTATAATCCATTAAAGTCATTGGAACTTACTTCCAAATATATAAGTTTAGAATCGGGGGATTGCCTGTAAACCTCCACCTACATCACATAAACAGAAACCACTGGATCCACAATGGGTACTTAAATATTATTTTTAGCGGCATGTTTTATCAACAAGATTTTCCTCAGTTTTATATTCATCCTTTGTCTGTGTTGAGTAGTAACAGTCTATTGTCTACCTCAGCAAATGACATTAAATTTCATTCTTTCATTTAAATAATACATTTTATCTAATTAGTATGGTTTCTAGTCTGTTGAATAACAAAGGTGAATATACCAGTCAGTTTGAGGACTTTCATTTTGACATGAAACTATTATGCTTAGCAAACACCCCAAATATGAAGATGAAACAGAGAGGTTTCCAGTTGGCTTCATTTAGACAAATAGAGCTGGAAACTCCGTCCCTATTCATGGTGGATGGAAAATTAAATGGAAAGGGTCAAATTGCTTCCTTCACACTTCATGGGAATCCTATTGATTTTTAGGGCAAAGATAAGGAAAGAACTTACCCAAAATCTATACTTTATATATATTAAAAGGGGGCATAATCAACTTCAAATCTCATTCAGTTTATTTTAATTAGTTGAGAAGTGGTCTCAGTATCCCCAATTAGTTTGGGGAATGGTGAAATCATATATATACCCTCACAAAGAGAAGAAAAGAAAAATAAGTCCGGTGTTTGCATGCACTATTCTGATGGCAAGGGAAAAATTCAGGGTGGTATGCAAGGCTAGTCATATTCCCATGTAGACCGATCATAATAATTGACATTACTAACTTACACACATTCATTTCAGTGGGTATACTTGAGTAAAATTTAGTTGAAAAAAACCCCTCTATGGAAAAATCCAGTATATATGACTGGCACATCAAAGTCCTTTCAGACTTTCTGCTACAAAGTTAAACCAATTGACAGTGTAAGCACTTCAAAACACTACTTTTTCCTCCTATTTCCATCTGCTCTAGTAATCGTCACATTTCAGTACAGCTGTCAGTAAAACTGTATCTGACTGAAGTATTTTTGTTTGTGTTTTTCTTGAACGCCTACTTTAGGCCACTTTGACACTGGGTTTATGCTTCGTTTATTTGAGTAGAATAATCTTTTATGCTATACTGGGCAGACTCCTCACAGGATATGGGATGAAAAGTCTAATCTGCGCCCGCGTCTGCCTTTTTGTTGTGTCTCCGGGACCCATATTTGTCTTGAAGCCAGGCCTCCGTGACAAGTTGATGCAGTTTTGATTGGCGTTAGAAGGCCGAGATAGCTTGTGGGCAGCTCTTTAGAACTCGATGGTGTTGTCTTAAAGAGTAATTTTGTCATGTCCCCCTTTTGAAACCTTGACTAAATGCACTTCAGTTCTATACGGCTGAAGTGTAATAAAAGGGCCTTATCACAAACGCCATTGATTCAGTCGACGTTACTCCAGCACAGATCTGAGCCAATTGGTTTGCATAATTTGCAGAGCGATTCTATACGAGTCCACCAAGAACCCTTTCAATGGGACTTACTCCGAGGTAAGTGGGTATGTGATGGGAGCCTTGGCATAAGTATGGGCCCACATGTGCCTTAAATAAGGTCGGACTTTGAAAACCAGGTAAATGATGGAGGGACAAAAGAAGTAGAGCACCCAAAAGCTCTATTGCAACAGCGTGAATATGACACTTAAAAATATTGTTAGATAAATATAGAGTTAGAAAATGGCTCGGTGCTTAATGAGTAATCAGTGCCTTTTATTACACTATACAGACATTATATTTCTACCAAACAAACATACCATTAATGTGTGTGGGGGAGAGAGAGAGCTTGGAGGGGGAGTGATTGAAACGCTTGTGCTCTTTGCTTCTCCTCTTGTTGTCAAACATGTTTTTCGAAACTGATGGTCAGGGTTGACCTGAAGCTTGTTTTGTTCGCATCATTTGCCTTGCATTGAAGAATCTGGACAAACTGTGTCCCTAATAAGGCTTCTGCATAGAAGAGCTACCAGTTCTCTCTGACTAGGGGAGGACAAAAATAAAAGGTCAAAAATAAATAGTGTAACCAGTGCTTTTTGTGTGTGTGATGGTACTCGTCGTGTGCTGGCACACAGGGCACTGTTATCAAAATATTAGTACCTTGATAACGCACTTTTTACAGATAAAAGCACTGAGCTTCTGTTTCCATGCATCTTCAAACTTTGGATGGACATGCCTAGAGCTTCTAAAAATAATATATAACTCCATGGAGAAGTACATCAGGCCAGCATTCTTACTAGGAGTATCTCAAGAGAAGATTTTTTAAAAATAAATATGAATGTTTGTTCAGATGGCATTATAGAGAAGTAAATTAAAATCTTTGGAGCCCTTCGTTTTAAAGCTGCATTAATCGGGGGGGGGGGGCGAGTTACACATAACCAGCATAAAATGGATGCTAAAGACGTATCAACATTTCTTGGTGAATCTTCAGTCATGCATTGAATATTGCAGCCCTTTACACAATTCCTTGGAAGCAGACTTGCTTTCATGTCCATATATTTAGGATCAGGGTTATAAGTACACTTATTTGGAAGTAAGTTCCCTTTGTGACAGTTGCAGTTACTCACTTGCAAGTGAATGTTTTCAGGACTGGCTTGCGTAGCGTTCAGTTCCATAATATGCCATTGCTTTGCGAAAGATTTCTGCTTAATTAGTACTTAAGGGCAATCCACTATAATTATTGCAAATCGGAAGATGGTTTTGAGCTCTGACCGTATTTATTTTACTAATGCATACATATGTGTGTCCGTTTAATTCACGAGAATTTAATATATATGTTAGAAAGATGATCTGAAAAAAATCAGCTAGTTGTACAAAATATACAAAATATGTGTTGCACATATTTATAAATTAGAAGTAGTGGTGGCAACCACATTTGGCTTTAAAAGAAAATTAAATAAATTCATGGATGATAAGGCTGTCAACCGTTACTAGCTCCACTGTTGGAGGCCATTTGCCTCTGAAGACAGTTACTGGAAATCACAAGTAGTAGTACTCTTGTGTGTGTGTGTGTGTGTGTGTGTGTGCGTGCATGAGAGAGAGAGCGCTCACCGGAGACAGGGTGAGCTTGCTTGTAGACTTCCCATAGGCGTCTGGTTTGCCACTATGAGAACAGATTGCTGGTCTAGATTGGTCTTTGGCCTGATCCACCAGGTCCTTGTTACGTTGTTGTTTTAACAGAACGGTTCAAGGCAAGAGAGGATGATGTAACAAGGGCCATCATTCTGCTAAACTCAAAGGAGCAGCATGCATTTTCAGCGGCCACATTCCCAGTCTCTGTTTTCCTTCAAAACAAAGATGGCACCAGCGTTAGAATCATACACTTATTTTTTAATGGTTGATTTCATTTTCCGCATCAGGTCTATCAGGCATAGAGCTCAGGTTGCTGTGACTGATATTATATTTAATGTGGATTGATACTGTTTGCTAGGAATGAGTTGCCACCACTACATATCACTGAGGGACGGATAGTGGAATTGAACCAAGAGTCCCCAATGGAAAAGATCAATACTTTATTTACTAAGATAAGCCCTAAAAACAAGATTGTTCAATAACAAGTCTTTT